CCCTGCCCTGGCCCCGCCCCGCCCCGCCTCTCACCACCTCACCCACCTGTGAGGAGCCAGGGGACAAGAAAAAGACAGAAAAAGGGAGCGGTCAGCGCGAGGATCCCCGGGATGCACCCCTTCAGGACACCCTGCCCGCCTGGCGCTGACACTCACCCATTGACAGCGACCTGGGGTGCGCTTTGCTGTGGGGAGGGGGACGGCTGGGTCAGGTGAGTTTCTGTCCCGACCCCCTCTTGGGTCTGGGGAGCCCCAGCCTCACCTGCTGGCGCCGCCGCTCATGCTGGAGCTGCTTCTCCACCGGGTCCTCCCAACGGCGGCCCTGGGGGTCGGCGGCTGGCGGCTCCCAGCCGCTGTAAAACTCGGGGCTGTAAGCAGGTCCCTCCCCTGGGGGCAGCTCCAGCCTGTGGCCGGGGACAGCGGACAGGGCGCTGACACGAAGCACCATCACGACTAAGGTTATGTTCTAAATAAGTCCACTCCGTTGTGCTGGCCAGCTCAACTCGTTTGGTTTTGAGAAGGGGTTTCGCTTTGTAGCTCAGGCTGGCCTGGAATCCCCGGCGATCCTCCCACCTCAGCCTCCAGAGTGCTGGGATGACAGGAGTGCTCCACCACGCCCGGTTCGGCCCGGCGTTTGTATCTCACCTCTGAGCCCAAGCCGGGCTTTCCAGCTGCTTTTATCCTGCCCTATCACCCAGGCCAGGCCTCTGGTTCTGCGGCACTAACCTCAGCGTTCAGGTTCTATCCTGAGACCTTAGGACACGCCTTCAACAAAGCCCTGATTCCTCAGTACAGCCAGGCTCACACACCTAAGCCCGACCCTGCTATGTAGTCCTCTAGCTTTGCCTTTTTTTCCCCAGTACTGGGTATTGAACCCTGCAATCCTCCTGCCTCAGCCACAGGTTTGCGTAGCTGTTCCCTTTTTCTGCAATCCGATTGGCTGGTTGGATTTTAAACCTCATGCTAATTTCTAGTCTTTCCTCCAGTCAGATCCTGACATTTATCCTAAGTCCCACCCCCTAGCTAAACCCCACCTCTAGTCTCTCCGCTCCGTCCCTCTCCAGTTCCCAGGCTCTCTGAGCTCAGGCCTGGTCTCCGGCCAGGTCCCCTACCCTGGGCGGGTCCAGGAGTCCCCGAGCGAGGTCCACAGCGCGTTTTCCCGGGGGGTGACACTGTCCCGCAGCAGCGCCACGGCCTCTGACGTCAGGTGCGGCCGCCGCACGCCGCTGGCGAACTCCGGGCCGCCGGACGTGTTCACGATCTGCAGGGCGACAAGGGTCGGGCTGCTACCAGCTCCTCTGCAATGCCCGGGCCTGGGGAAACCCAGCGGGCGGCGCGACGCACCATCTGCAGCGGCCCGAAGAGGAAGTGCAGCAGCTCCGGGGAAGAGGGGTTGGCGATGTTGCCTCGCAGCAGGGCCTAGGCGGGGCGGCGCTGGGTTAGTGCAGGAAGGTAGGGGTCACTGCCCCTGGTCCCCGCGAGGCCCGTGGGGCGCGCGTCCTCACCAGCAGGCTGAAGGCGTACTTGATTTTCTGAAGCACATCCGTGTACTCAGCCTCCGAGGGTGGCTTGGCCCGCAGAGTCAGCAGGCCCTCTGTGAGTGGCACAGGTGCAGTGGTGGGGACCCAAGACGACAGGTGACACAGCCAGAGAGGGGCAGACACCCAGGGACACTCAGGGAGCTCATCCATTAGAAGCCAGGCCCAGATGGCGGAGCGGGTACTGAGATGCAGGGGTTGAGGGGGATCTTTGGGAGTGATGGGGAATCCGTGCTCTGGGTCCTGTGGGGCGTTCCTTACCCCCAGCGGCCCGGCGCCGGGTCCTACGGCCGCGCTCGCGGTGCTCTAACACGCGGGTGGCCTCTGCAGACTTCTGCAGCCTGGACACGAAGGTCTCCACGTCCTCAAACACGTGGTTCAGGATGTCCTGGGGATGCAGGGGAAGGAGGGGCTCCTGAGTGTCAGACCCTCATCGCCGTCGAGGCTGTTGAGCTGATAGTGTAGACACGCCCCCTGGTAGGACCCCCGGCGACCGCGCCCCCAGAGCTCCGGCCACGCCCCTAGAGCGGAGCCCCACTCCAGGACCCAGAAGGAGGGCTGGACCGGCCCGGTGACCCGCCGGCCCCGCCCCCAGCCCGGCCTTACCACTTCGCGCTCCGCCTGCAGACCCGCCAGCTCCGGGCCGCGCGGGCCCAGGTCTGGGCTCTCGGGGTCCGCGCTGCTCACGAAGCTCGCCCGGCCGGGCCTCCCCTCCTCCGCCTCGGGGATGGGCTGCACCGGGGGCGCCCCGCGGCCCGCGGCCGGCGCGGCCGAGCTGATCACCGCGCGGACCGAGGGGCGGCGCTGCAGGGGCGGGGTCTGGGCAGCGGGCTTGGGCCCGCGCTGCAGCTCCTCCTCCGCGGCCCTGGGGAGCAGAGGGGGAAACTGAGGCCGGATCAGTGGAGAGGACAGCGGGGAGAGACTCGTGGCCGGATAGGAGACCCTGATACTGAAGGGGTCAGATACAGGCTCGGTGTTGGGCGGAAACTGAGGCCACAGGGAGAGCCCGAGGGCCAGAAGAGGGGGTCGTCTCGTCTGGGAGGGACAGGAGACCCCGTCCTCCTCCCTTCCCCTTCCGCCCCTCACCTGAGCGCCGCTGCCCTGCGTTCCCCGCGTCCGGAGCGGTAACTGTGCAGAGCCCCCTGGATGTCCTCTCGGATCAGCTCCGCCTGCCAATCAAGCGACAAGCCCCGCCCACTGCCCTCAGACCACGCCCTGTCCCGACCCCTCCCTGTCCACAAACCGTCCCTTCCAGATCCTCTTCCCAGACCACGCCCCTCTGTCGCTCTGACCCCGCCTTTGCCCGCAAGCCACGCCCCGTTTCTGTCCGGCGGGGACCCAGGGTCTTACCCCAAGACTTAGTCCCTGGAAGAAGTGCACGTCGGGCTGCGCGCGCTCGGGCTCCTGACACACCAGCAGGAGCAGCGAGCGGCTCCGGCCTGGTGCCGTCACCGCGTCGCAGCGCACTATGGAGCCGAGGGGGTAGGATTCCAGCTCCTCCTGCAGGCCGGACAGCAGGGTAAACTGAGGCACGGGCCAGTACTATCGCTCTATGGCGACTGCAGTGCCCAGTGGGTGCAGGAGCGGGCCAGGCTGCCTCTGGTTTAATAGCGGCCGGGGGGCTCACCACCATGCACTCAGCCCTCCCAGTCCCCAGGGTCAGCAACCCAGCCACTTCTGCCCACGTCCCCGGCACCTTGGAGCCCGGGTCGAGCAGCGTGACATGGCCAGGGGACACCCGCAGCAGCATCTCCTGGGTCCAGACGCGGCCCTGGCTGTCCATGACCGCCAGCTTCCTGGACGCATCCTCTACCGTGTGCACCCCGTCCTCCTCGCCCAGGCAAAAGGTCACCAGGTGCTGGCACCGCAGAGAGAGCAGTGAGTCAGACGAAGCCCCCCGGCCACAGGCTTCCGGGCTGAGGCCAACCACTCCTCCTCCAGGAAGTGGAACCTGATCACCTTGGGGAATCAGCTCCTGTGTCTAGGGGCCCTGTCCTGCCCTCCTTCATCAAGCGGGGGGCACCAGACTGGCGGGCCTCCTTCTGGATTCCACCTACGTCCTCTCAGTGCCTCCCGGGACCCCGTGTTGCCTCTGGGCTGCCCCTCCCAGTCCTCCTGCCTCACAGTGATTTGACTCTTCAGCACCGAGCTGGTGCAGAAAAGTCAGACCCTATGGCTCTAGGCTCCCTGACACCTGTCACAGCTGAGATGGAGACGCAGTCCATTTTGCCTGTGAGTATACTGGGGTGCCTACGTGTTTCTGTTTGAGGCGGGAACTGTTTTAACGGCTTTGTCTCTCCGGGCCCACTGTCCCCCAGAAGACTTCCTGTGGGAGCAGACCAGACTCACATTGACCTGATACTGGGACACATCGGCCATCACCACCGTGGAGTAGCGCTTCCTCTGCTCTGTGCCGGAAGAAGGGGGCAAGCTGGACTCAGGCCCGGACTCCTTGCTCAGATCTGGTGTCCAGCCTCCTCCCTCAGACCTGGGGTCTGGGCCCGGCCTCCTCAGACACTGGCCCTCCCCCGGCCCTGGATTCCAGGCCGCACTCACCGTAGATAGACTTGGCACTTGGCTTGGGAGGGGCTTCTGGGCTGGCGGGGGAAAGGGGAGTGAGAGAGGCTGTGGGGGTTTGGGGCAGAACCCACAGAGCCAGGCAGCACTGCGAGGCCTTCACGGTGAGGGTGCTGGGCAGCCATGGGGCTGGGGCAGGGCGGGGCAGGGCCGCGGTGTTGGAGAGGACAGGCGGGCTGTGGTCGTGACTGAGGCCCCGCTGTCCTACAGACCTGGGTTCAGGTCCTCTGTGCTACTTCCTTGCCATAAGCCTGGAGGGGGGGAGACTTAGTCTCTCCTGCCTCCGTTTCCCCTCCCCCAGCATCCGGCTGGTGGGGCTGGTGGGCACGTCACTGAGACGATGCCCGTGCTGTACCTGCAGCCTCCAAAACTGTCCATATCCTTTAGGGAAGGACTTAGCGCTAGTAGTTGCTCAGTAAGTGGGAACTATCACATCAGCCCCTGCCGCTGAGCCGGGGCCATCTTCCTCCCTCCTCGCTGCGTCGGGTCCTCCCCGGCTAAATCCTCCTCTGCCCCTGCTGTCCCTGGCTGGTCTTCAAGGGTGCTGTCTAGGAGGACTCTTACGTCCCCTGGTCCACAGAAATAAGAGGCGCTCAGATCTCCAGGGTGGGCTGTGAGGAATGAGGAAACTGAGGAACCTTCAGCCAAAGCCCTGCTCTTCATCCTGCTCCTGCCCGCCAGACATCACGCTGTTTGATTACCTCTGGGCCGGAGAGCTCAGCACCTACCCGGCAGCTCTTCAGCCTCATCTCTCTGTGTCCTTCTGCCTGCCCACCCCGGAGACTGGAGTCCTCAGCCTTAGCAGCCCTGGTTTTCTAGCCGAAAGCCAATATTTACTAAGATAACTTTGGCCGCCACAGCAGTTCCCATAGGTGGAGCTCCTGCTGGGGACGTGCTGTGAAATCCCCTGATCCAGGGCTCAGACTCTTCAAGTCCTCCGGGGTCCTGGGAGAGCCGGCTCAGGGGGCGGGGTCCTCCGGCCCTGAGGGAGCCCTCCTCTCCTCCTCTGTGGACCGGGGCCTGTCTGCTGCAACCACAGGAGGAGGCAGGTGCGCGGCACTCCTGCTATCTTGGCCGGGGTGCTGCAAACTGGATCTGCAGGTGTGGGGGCTGGGACCCTGGCCTCTCCTCCCTCAGACCCGGCCTCCTGCAGCAGACCCAGGGGTCCAGGTCCCGCCTCCTCGCTCAGAGCCTGGGTTCAGACCCCAGCCCTCCTCTGTCAGACCGGGGTCCAGGCCCAGCTTCTCCCTCAGACCCGGGGTCCAGGCCTGGCTTCCTCCCCTGGCCCAGGAGGGCCACGGCGCTTACCCAGGCGTGACGGTGGAGGTGGCCATGGTGCTCATGCTGCCCTGTATGGGAGCTGTTGCCCACCCGGAGTCGTGGGAGATAGCGCAGATGTGAACGCCTGCCTGGCTGCAGGAACGTGTGATTTCGCCGGCCTCCTCCCTCAGGCTTGGGGGCAGCCCCGCCCTGCGAGGTGCAGAAGTCCTGGGTCCCAAGCGTCCTGGCTCGCTCTGGGTCTGGCCCTGGCTCCGGTCCTCCTGCCCCTCCTCCCTGGCTCCTCCCTCTGTGGCCACAGCCTCCGCATACCTGAGCGCTCACCTGGCAAGGGCTGAGGTGGCGGGCGGGTGGGGCCGGCAGCCTGTGCCAGGCAGGGTTGGGGGTGGCCGGGGGAAGCCAGGAGACTTATTTGTGTCTGTCGTGAAGACAACAGCGGAGCAACAACAATCTGATGTCACCCTGGTTCACAGGGCAGTCAAAGCTCATGAGTGTGTGTGTGTGTGTGTGTGTGTGTGTGTGTGTGTGAGAGAGAGAAAGAGAGAGAGAGAGAGAGAGAGAGATACCGGGCACTGAACCCAGGGTTCTAGCACTGAGCTCTAGTCCAAGCCCATTTTTATGTTTTACTTTAAGACAAGCTCTTGCTAAATTTCCCAGGATGGTTTTTGAACTTGGGATCCTCCTGCCTCAGCCTCCCAGAGTTTTGAGATTATGGGTGTGTACCTCCAAGGCCGGCTGGTTCAAAGTTCTGTCTTTGGCTCCTCCTAACGCCTGCAGTGGGGTCCCCCTGGCCAGGGCAGCTGCTGTCTGGAGACCAATTTTTCTGCCACTGCCACCTCCAGGGACATCATTTCCACGGTTGGCCCAATCTCCAGGCCTGGACCCCACCTGCCTGCCCCTGTTCTTTGGAAATTTCCCTCCTAGTCCTCCGCTCTGGTGAGTGTGCCACTCTGCTCGTTAGGTGCCCACGAGGCACGGAGCACACAGGCCGCCCTTCCCCACTCATATCTGTGCCCACCCCGCCGGCTCCCCGCCAGGGCTCCAGGGTCGCTGGATTAAGTGGGATCTGCCTCTGCCCAGGGACGCGGCTCAGATTTTCTTCTTGGGAGGTGGTACACACGCATGTGCACGGGCACGTTCCTCATGACGCGCTACGAAATGGGCCCTGTTCTCCCTGCTGTCCGAGTGGGGAAACGGAGGCACGTGTGAGCCGAGTGACAGGACTGCGCTGGTGGGGATGCGGTTGAAGCCGCGTGCGCACGTGGACCGGGGTCCTCTGTGCCACCCTGCGCTGCGTGACTCTTTCTTCTCTCCGGTTGTGGGGACTGAGCCCCAGGCTTCACACTGAGCTGCTTCCCCGGCTGTTTATAAAATATTTTTGTTGTTTTGAGACAGTCTCACTAGGTTGCCACGTTGACCAGGACGTATTCCAACTTGCGATCCTCCTGCCTCAGCTTCCCAGGTGCCACCATGCCCGCCCAACTCTGTGTGCCACTTTGTCACCCTGCGCCTTTCCATCCGTGTGACCGTGGGCAGATGGTCACCCAGATGAGCCCCCTGGGCTGCAGAACCCCGGGGTTCAGTGGGGACGGCCAGGCTGGGTGCACAAGAACACCCAGCGTAGCACGGGACCCGGCCAGGAGCCACGGGTCAGGGCGAGCAGGCACAGGCACCTGGGTTTCACCTGCTGCTGTGTCGGGCACCGGGGCACTGCGGGAGCCCGGAACTGCCGGGGTTGGGCGCAGAGCTGGGGAGGACGAGCTGAACCCGCAGGGCCAGTCCGACAGGCAGGTGACGGGAGGTGTGTCGGGCTGGGGACCTGGCCCAGGAGGGGACCAGGGCTCCTGCGCCCATCCGGCTGGGGCTTGGCGGGTGGCTGAAGCCCAGGCCCCGCTGGGTGCTGTTGCCCTGGGTCCCCGTCACATCAGGCCACCAGTGCTTTCTGAGCTCCGTCCTGTCTAGGTCCGGGAGGACTGGGGGTCGGAGCCCCAGGCCTCAGGGCTCAGACAGAGCGCAAAGGCTGGGGGGGTGTCACTGAGAGCCTGGGCTGTGACAGCGACCCGTGACACACAGGCCCCGGTCTGCAGGGGTGAACTGCCACTCAGAGGTCTGAGGGAGGAGGCGGCACCTGGCTCCTCACCAAGGTCCTGCGGGAGGCCCCAGGCCGAGGTCCCCACACTGCTCCCCTGTCTGGAGTGGCAGCAGTACACTGAGACTCTCAGGCCCCAGTGCATGCCCAGAGGCGGGGAGCGTCTCTCCCTAGACCCCGCCGGCCCCTCCCACCCTGCCCTGGCCGCCTCACCCCCCACGCCTGTGTGGTGCTGCCTCTTCCTCCCTGGTTTCAGTTCTCCGCAGGGCTCACAGCTCAGAGCCCCGAAAGTCCCGTCTGCACTGTGCCCCATCCCTCCCAGTATCTCTTCCCCGGTCACCAGGACAAAGGGGACACTTGCTGGCAGTGGGAGCCGTGGCGTGTGGCAGGGCAGGTGGAGGTCACAGTCACCGGAAGCCGCGTCTCAGACCCAGGTATCCTCCACCCCGTGCAGACACAAACAACGCACTCATTCCATCCATAGCTCAGCACGCCCAGCTGTCACCTCCCGTTCGCCCTCCAGAGGAGAGGCTCGCCCAGCAAGTGGCCCGAGGTGGCACGAATGGTCATTATTCGTGATGACACATGCAGTAATGGAGGTGCCGTGGGATGTTATGTGTCCCTAGGGAAATCCTTACTGCAGCCGGGCTCGTGTGCATATGGGGCAGGCAAAGGAGCTGTCTGTGGGGGCCATGTCCGGAGGTCCCCCAAAGCCGCATGTGGTCACAGCAGGGCTTTTCAGAGGTGGCTGGATCTAGAGTGCGTGATGCTGGACTTGATTCATGGTGCAGTGCTAGGGTCAAGGGCACTAGGACTGAGGGTGTGAGTGCCGCCCGCCCTGAGTAGCCTGGAGAAGGTGCAAAAGGTAGAAAGAGCTGTGGTTGCCCCTTGTTGATTTGTTACCTTCCACAGACTGTTTCTCTCCTGCGATTCCACCCTGCCTTGGAGCCAGCTGATTACGGACTGAAACGTCTACAAACTGTGAGCTAAACAAACCTTTCCTCCTTTAACTTTGGGCCTTGGGTATTTTGTCGCAGCCATGAGAAAAGTGACAAGGAACTAAGACACCGTCCCCTGGTAAATGATAACCGGATGGGCTTTTGTAGGATGCACAGAAGTTCTGTGATGATGAGGAGGCCAGGAATGACATTCTAAGCACCAGCAGTGGGATGTGCAATCCTGAGGTCATATTCTTGGCAGTGCCTAAGCTCGTGCTGCATGCTAAGCCTGTGGTAAGAGCTGGGGACAGAGGAGGAGACAAGTGCGGCCCTGCTCCAGTGACACTGTCATGGGGTGGGTGTGGTGGGGACACAAGATAAACAGGTGGATGCGCGGGTTAGTAAGACTCAGGTGTGGTGAGTGCTCTGGAGGACGCAGAAGGCAGAAGAGGTGGTGTGGGGAGGGGCAGCTGAGCTGGTGGCTCTGATTGGACCCAGTTTGGAGGCTGAGGCGGGAATGTGGCTGAATTTCAGGCTGGGATTCCTGGGGCAGCCGGGGGAGTCTGCAGGGCGTGGCTGGCCTGGGTGGTGGGGCGAGGCCGGGCTGTGAAGTTGGCGGCGAGAGCCGCAAGAGTGGAGAAACTCGGGCAGCGCGGGACCGGCAGAACCGGAGCTGGAGCGCTGGCTGGCTGGGCCGAGAGGGGCGGAGGGGGCCGCGGGCCGAGCTCTGGGGGCTTATCTCCCGCTCCCCCTCTCTGAAAGTGCTGTGGGGCTGGCAGGGTCACACAGGTCAAGAGCTGAGGATGTGGCCCGAGCGCTGATGCATGCGGGTCAGCCCAGCACTCTGGGAGGCTGAGGCAGGGGGAACCCAAGTTCAAGTGGGGCGGAGAGCTATGGGCCACGATCGCACATATGCAGTGGTCCCACCGCATTCCCTCGCCTCCCACGCAGCCCGCGCCTGTCCTTCCTCCCTTTCCCAGCTGGAGCCCTGCTCCAGGCCCTGTGGCTGGTGAGGATGACTGGAAACCCGCCTAGCTTCGCTGTCTCTGTTCCTTTCTTTTTCTTCCTTCCTCCCTCCCTTCCTTCATTCTCTTTTCTTTTCTTTTCTTGTTTTCTGTTCTTCTCCTTCTTCTTCTTCCTCTCCTCCTCTTCCTTCTTTTTCTTCTTCTTCTTCCTCCTCTTCCTCTTCTCCTTTTCCTCCTCCTTCTGTTTGTGACAGTCTTTCTATGTAGCCCAGGTCGGCCTTGAACTCGACATGATCCTCCTGCCTCAGCCTCCTAAGTGCTGAGATCACAGGTGTGCACTACTATCCCTGCTCCAGAGCTGTTTTCATCTGGAAACCTGCGAGCCCGCCCCCTTGCCGTAGACCCTCTCTCCCCTCCTCCAGGGCCTGGCCCTCCGGGGCCCTCTCTCTGTCTGTCTGGTTTCCCTCTTCTCGGTACCTTGTATATGTGTCGTTTGCTGACTGTGTTATTCCTACCTGGCAAGTCCTGCAGGGGTGTGTGTCAGACCGGCCTTCCTTTCGAGGCTGGGTGACGCTGCCCTGCAGGGACAGACCGTGTTTTGTGGACCTGTCCATCTGTGGCGGGCCCTGGGGCTGCAGCGGCTCGGTTGTCAACTCCTGTTGCCTTCCCAGCGCTCATGGGACCCCACACCCCACACAGCCAGAAACCAAGATCCAGGGGCTCTGAGAAAGTGCAGAGGGACCAAAGGTGAAAACAGAAAAATTAAATACACCCATCACTCTGCTAGCAGAGACCGCGCACGGGATGTCCTAGGACAGTTTCCCCATGCTCGAAAAAAATAGGGGCACGTAGGAGCTTGGGTAAAACCAGGTGTGCTCCGGGGCGGCTACCGCCCCACGCCAGCCAAGGAGGGACATCGCAGCCATTTAGCCTCTGCCCTTGTGAGGCTGCAGGTCGGGTCGTCTGTCAGACCCACGTGGGACAGCGTTAACCCCTTTCTTTCTTTCTTTTTTTTTTTTTTGTCTTTTTGAGAGGGGCCTTGCTACGCAGTTCAGGCTGGCCTTGAGCTCACTCTGTAGCCCAGGCTGGCCTCGAACTTGCAACAATCCTCCTGCCTCAGCCTCCCGAGTGCTGGGATTACAGGTGTGCACCATCATGCCCGGCTTTTTCCCTTTCTTTTCTATGAGGACATTTTCCTCTCTTTAAAGCAATTATTTTAAAAAATTAGTACACATTTGTCATACGTATTGATCACATTCATCATAGGGGATTTGTACTTGTATGACATATCTTGATTCTTTTCTCCCCCATTTCCCTCCCCTCCTTTCAACCCTTTTCCCTTCTCCATTTACAAAACCTTTGTTTCCATTTTTTCTTCTGTTATCTTTCCTGCCTTCCCCTCTTCCTCCTCTCCCCGCTCCCCTGTTTCCTTTCCCATTCCCATCCGCCCTCCTTTATGTTCCTCTTTACCCTCCAGGTTTCTCATGCATGAGAAAAAAATGTGATATTTAAACTTCTTTGTCTGATTTATTTCACTTAAGATGGTCTTGAGGTCCATCTGTTTACCTAAAAAACAACTGAAGTTTATCCCTGTTCATGGCAGAATAGTACTTCATTGTATATAAATACACTATCTTTATCCATTCATCATTTGATGGGGATCTAGGCTGTTTCCAAAATCTAGCTGTTACAGACTGTGCCACTATAAACATGGGTGTGCATATATTGCTGTGGTATGATGCTTTTAACTCTTTTGGGAGGACAACCAGAAGGGGAATAGCTGGGTCAGATGGAACCTCTAACTTTAGTTTTCTGAGGAGTCTCCCCACTGATTTCTACAGTAGTTGCACCAGTCTACACTCCCGCAACGGAGAGCTGTTCTCTTTTCCCCACAACCCTGCCAGCATTTGTTATTGGGCATTAACCTTTCTTCTCTCTCTGTCTTTCTTTTTGAGACAGGGTCTCGCTATGTAGTCCAGGCTGGCCTTGAACTCACAGCGATCTTCCTGCCTCAGCTTCCCAAGTGCTGGGACCTTTTTCTTTCTTGCTTTTTCCCCTTGTGCTGGGGATCAATCCTCTGGTTCACATACACAAGGCAAGGGCTCTGCCCCTGAGCTGCACCCCAGGCCTCTCTGTTAGTGTCCGGGGGCCTGCAGGGCATGGTCCTGTTGTTGAATTCCCAGGGTCCAGTCGGCGTTCAGGACACAGCAGCTGAGTAACTGAGTAACTGCTGCCGGCAGTGAGCGAGCCCTTGCCTACTGATTGAGGCCGAATCTACTGCTTCTGGTGTCTCCTGTGAGAGAGCCAGGCGCCGGGAAATATTTTCCTGTGTGTGTTTCACTTGGAGAAACAACCCCTCCCTGGCACGGTGCTGATGGGAATGGCTGGGCCGCACGCACAGAGGTTGCCACGGAGGGCTCGGCCTCTCAGCAGCGCGGTGCTAGCTGGCATTCTCCCAGCAGGGAGGCTCCCGAAATCCTGGCCAAGACCTTGTATTAGCATTGTCTTCAGCCCTGCCAATCAGAAAAGTGCAGTATACCTGCCCATCAGATAAATGAGATGCACCTGCCCATCAGATAAGCGTAAGTATTATGCCATCAGTGTCTGACTGAGATTCCCCGGGCTTGCACATGCTAGGCAGGTGCTCCCCAGAGCTGTGTTTACGTTTTCTGTTTTGTTTTGGTTTCCGGTGAAGTGCTGGGATGTACATTATGCCTAGCTGTGAATTCCATTCCCCTCTCAAACCCAGGAGGCTGGTTCTCAGGCCTTCCTCCCCCAGACCTGGGGTCCAGCTTCCTTACCGTCTTCATTGTAACCCAGCTCTATTAGGTGTAGGTTTCTAAGCGTGGAAATCTCAAAGTCCTCTATACAATCTATGAGAAGGTACATTTTATTTTTTGGAGGGGGGACTGGGAATTGAACTCAGGACCTTGCGCTTGCTAGGCAGGTGCTTACGCCACTGAGCTATATCCCCAGCCTGAGAAGGTACTTTTTGAGATTAATTTTACTGCTACATTTTAGTTATACATAATGATCACACACATCATGGGGAATTTGTACCCGTGCATGACCTACCTGGCTGCTTCTTTTTTTCCCATTCCCCTCCTCTGGCTTCAACCCCCTCTTCCCCTCCTTATCTTTTTTGTTGTTGTTGTTGTCTTTTTGAGACAGGGTCTCACTATGCAGTTCAGGCTGGCCTTGAGCTCACTTTGTAGCCTAGGCTGGTCTTGAACTCACAATGAATGCTTCAGCCTTCCGAGTGCTGGGATTACAGGCGAGCTTTGTTTCCATTTTTTTCTACTCTGTTTTCTTGTTCCTTTCTTCCTTTTCCGCTCCCTCGTCCTTTGTTTTCCTTCTCATTTGAAAAGGTACTGGTACTTTGAAGATATCAATATGTAATACAACCACCATTGTTAATTCCCTACCACTTTGTTTGGAACTCTGTATTGTCTGTATTGTGCTTGTGATATGTTGTAAAATGTTGTATGTCTGTTAATGTTTCCCTCCTTTTATCCTTAAAATAAAAAAAAAAATAAAAATGAAAAGGTACTGGTTTGGCACAGGCCGCAGCGGGAATCGAACCTGGAGTTCGCTGCAGAATTGGGAGGTGCCCTTTAGAGAGTTGGGCGTGACGTCATCCCTTCTGGAGCTAGGCCCCGCTCCTTCACCTGTTCCCGCCTCTGCGCCTCAAACTACACTTCCCAGAGGTCATAGCGGCCAGGACCCATTCTCATTGGCTGTACAATCGGCCCCGCCCCGGGCCCCGCCCCGTCCCTGTCCTCTCCCTACTGCCGGCTTCCGGAGTCCGGGCAGACGCGGTGGCTCCCGCACGTGGTCCTCGCTGCCGTCCGCCGCCGTCTGCGCGCCGCCGTACCGGGACCCCGCTCCCCGCCGGCATGAACCGCTACCTGCTGCCGGTGTCCGTGCTGGGCACCGCGGTGGGCGGCGCCGTGCTGCTGAAGTGAGTGGGTGCGGCCGGCGTGCGCGCAGGGGCAGGCCGTCCCCGAGGGTCCCCCGTCCCCGAGTCCCGTCTCCGAGGGCCGCCCGTCCGGGTCCCGACTCCCGGCCCGATCCGGCGCGGCGTCCTCCCCCGGCGCGGAGGCGGCGTCCAGCACCCGGCGGCCGGGCCAGGCCCAAGGTCACCGGCAGGGCGGGCCGCGCCGGAACCGGCCTCGTCCCTCAGGACTGCTAATTAATTCATGAACGCGCTTGGCGAGTGCCACTGATCTTCCCGCGCGATCCTGTGGCCGGAGCAAGCGAAATGTGGGTCACCCTTGCCGGGCGTGGTGGCGCACGCCTGTAATCCCAGCACTCAGGAGGCTGAGGCAGGAGGATCGTTGTGAGTTCGAGACCAGCCTGGGCTACAAAGTGAGCTCAAGGCCAGCCTGAACTGCATAGCGAGACCCTGTCTCAAAAAGACAAAAAAAAAAAGAAATGTGGGTCACCCCGCTCCACCCGAAGTGGAAAGAAATGCGCTCCTGAGGAACCGACAGGGTCCCATTGCATGGGGATCTGTGTTGTCCTTTGACTTTCTCCCTTCGCCGTCCTTTTCCTGAGCGATCGGGATTATGTTGAATGTGCAGAGCGGTAACGACTGTATCCCTCATCCTGCACCCTGGAAATGCCTGTCCCTGTTAACTCAGCCGGTGCGTGGGTGCCACGCCTGTCTGCCTAGGAGACTAGGCGGCTCTGTGCGCTGTGCATCCCGTCCTGTTTCGCCTTTGGTTCCGCGTTAATGCGTGCACGTTAGGTACGTGTTTGTGCAGACCGTCTTGGATGCTGTAGCTTTATCCTGTGGCTGTAAGGTGACCCATCCCTTCCTGCTGGCTTTTGGTTGGTGGTCTTCTTTTTGCAGTTAGTATTGGCAGGGAGTGAATGTGGGTCGTGGGGACATCCTAGCGCCTCCAGCAGCGGAGATGTGGACAGGAGCACACCCTTGTAGTTGACTCTTTGGGACTAGGGGGACTAAGTCATCATCTGTGAGTCCTTGAGTGGCAGCGGCTGGTTTATTACCTTAACCCCAAACCTGGGCGTAATTTTTATGTTTTTTGCAGTGCTGAGGATTGAACCTAGGGTCTTGACCCTGCTAGAAAATGCTCTACCGCTGAGCTACATCCCCAGCTCATACTATTATATTAAAAAAACCTTTCTCCCGCGATCAAAGGGAATGAACAGCGTTTCCTAGGAATCTGTTTCTTTGGGTCCTGTGAAGATGACCCCTCTGCGCATGCTCCTCTGGCCACTGTGGGTACCCAGCCCTGCCCGGTGTGTGTGCAGGGCTCTGGGGGACAGGGCTGAGCCACGCGGAGCTGTACCTGGCCGGGGGAGGGCCTGGGAGCTTCAGCAAGGGGATCTGACTGGGTTATAGTGAGATCTCTCTGGTGAGATGTCACAGCGAGAGGAAGGGAGGGCGCAACCCGGGTGGGGAGGGAGGGCGCTCTCGGGACCAGGCCTGCGAAGAAGGGTGAGTGAGGTCCTCAGAGCGGTGGACTCACAGGGGCAGAAAGTAGGCCCGTGGTTGCCAGGGCTGGGAGGGTGGGGAGTGGGGACAGTTTCTGCTGTGCAGAGTTCTGGAGGTTGGTGGTGGTGGTGGTTGTATCATACTATGAAGGTATTTAGTAACATTGAAGTATCTACTGTAAATGTGGTAGTGGGGCATGGCAGTGCACGCCTATAATCCCAGCACTCAGAAGGCTGAGGCAGGAGGATCATTGTAAGTTTGAGACCAGCCTGGGCTACAATGTGAACTCAAGGCCAGCCTGAACTGCATAGTGAGACCCTGTCTAAAAAAAAAAAAAAAAAAAAAAAAAAAAGAAAGAAACCTCACAGTATGTTTTCTCTAGAGACAGAAGGTGGGTTAAAGAAGAAAGATATTGAGACTCAGAATTTTGAACGATATAAATGTATTTCTCCAAAATAAATGCCTACATATACTGTACAGCACAGTAAGTATAGTTGATAATGTATTTTTTTTTTCCTGTGTTTTTGAGACAGGGTCTCGCCATGTAGTTCAGGTTGGCCTTGAGCTCACATTGTAAGCCCAGGCTGACCTTGAACTCGCAACATCCTCCTGCCTCAGCCTCCTGAGTGCTGGGATTACAGGTGTGTGCCACCATGCCTGGCTCTTTCCTTTGCTTTGCTTTGTTTTGCTTTTCTTTTCTTTCTCTTTCTTTCTTGTTTCTTTTCCTTCCTTCCTTCCTTCCTTCCTTTCTTCCTTTCTTTCTATCTCTTTCTCCTTCCCTCCCTCTTTCCCACCTTCCTTCCCTCCCTCCCTATCTTTCTTTCTTTCCTTTTTTTTTTTGAGACAGAGACTTGCTATGTAGTGCAGGCTGGCCTTGAAGTTGCTTATGTAGTCTAGGTTGGCCTTGAAGCCATGGGGATCCTCCTGCCTCAGCCTCCCAAGTGCTGGGGTTACAAGTGTGTGCCACCACACCTGGCTCCATATTTCAAAATATGTTGTAGTGGGGCTGGGGATTTAGCTCAGTGACACAGTGCCTGCCTGACAAGTGCAAGGTCGTGAGTTCGATTCCCGGTACCGGAAAAAAACAAACAAACAAAAAATATGTTGTAGAGACAAATGTATGCAGTTTTTGTCAATTAAAAATATATCCAGTACAAGGTGGGTGAGGTGACACACACCTGTAATCCTAGCACCAAGGAGGCTGAAGCAGGAGGATTGATACGCGTTTCAAGGTCAGCCTGAGCTACATAGTGGGTTCAAAGCCAGTCTGAAGTACATTGTGAGACTGTCTCAAAAAAAAAAAAAAATGTATATATATATCCAATACAAACCAGAATTTAGTACATAAAAAAACTACAAACGGGGCTGGGGATTTAGCTCAGCGGCAAAAGCGCTTGCCTGGCAAGCGCAAGGTCGTGAGTTCGGTTCCTGGTACCGGAGAAAAACCAAAAA